TTGTCGAGAGTGCGCTATGCAAAAGGTCTAAGGGCGTATGTTGCTGACAATGGAGACCAAGGAAAGCATGAGAATGGTAAAGCATACACTATAAATGTTGTATACAATGAGCTACTAGAATGAAAGTGATTTATTGATTTTGTAACTATACAACAATTAATAGAAAAGAATGACCTGATGTTTTAGTTATATTCAAAAGCGCTATTTTGGTATACTATCCATTCATACACCCGTTTTTGAAAAACGGGATAGCGCAGCTAGTCTAATTTATATTTCGTCCCAGAACTTCGAAATATAATGTGCAGTGTTACAAGTTGCGCATCATGACCTCCAAAAAACAAATATCAAAAACTATTTTCAGAAACTCAAATTTAAAATCCATTAACCAAAGATTGTAGCCACGGTCGGTCTCAATAATCCATAAATGTCTGCTTTCTTGTAGTGACAGAAATGCACTAAAAAATAGATGATTTTAATAAAAATGTTTAGAAAACATGAACAGAAACTACTCAACATAATTCCATGACTGACACTAAAGTGACAAAAGCGTATTGGAGTTCAGGAGATACTTAAAATTAAACTTAAGCAAGAAACACTTTGCCATGCAAATTCTGATCTATATGTATGCTCTCTATGATAATAGTTACTTCTTTTATTGAAATTGAATATCGAATCCTTTTGTAATAATTATACTCTAAAAGGAATATTGTAATTAAAAACGAATGTTGCCCAACAAAATATAGTCACATGTTGATTCTTTCCAAATACTCGTAAATGTGACCGGAATAAGGATTTTTCTAAATGTAGTGTCTTTTAGATTGGTCTCGTTTAATCACTAAAAATTACTTAGCCTAACGACATGATATGTTAACCATATATGTAGTTTGGTATTCAAGTCAAATAGTGCTTAAGTGTTGCGAAACAAGCTAAATTATGAAAGTAAGGCCATTATCATCAAATAAAGTGCATTCAATCTGCCTATACGTTTTTAGAACGTATCTAACAAATTTTTCTGGATCATTTAGATCTTTAATGGTTATTTTTATAGATATACATGCAAGTTCTTTCTAAGTTTGTCTTCTCATGTTACATTATTTTCACTTTCTTAATTACATATCAAACCACCAGCATAACTTAGTGTTCGTCTAGAGACTGAACGCCAAATAATGAGGCTGAGTGTATCCTTCCATTACCAATTTCAAGTTCTATTTGTTTCCTTGTGAGAGTATTTAGCAAACTTAAAATATCTCAATTATTTTAATTCGACTAACAAGTTACCTAACCGGGCAGTAATTACATATGCGTTTTCCATAGTTAATTCATTAGAGCATTGAACTTAGATATGCACGTTGTCATTAAAAATGTGCAAGGTAGTCACCATCTGTGCCCGTTTACTCATGAAACAATGAAATTACGCATAATATGGAATCTCTGTATACGCTGTAAATATCACAATGTGACCCATATTTCTATTTTTTACGCATAATTACCGTGTGAAACAACCGAATTCGACCATCTTATATCTGATCGTTCATTGAACTCCCAGATGCGACATTATGGTTGTTGAATGGAGGTAATTTGAAGCAAAAATTGTGTGAAAAACATGAATGAGGATCACTTTCTGGTTTTATAATTTTTGACAAAACTATGGTGATTCACTTCGATATTTGCTGGTTAATTTAGCAAAACATAACCCATAAACTCTTCAGCGGCAATTCAATCCATGTGATCATACAATATATCATCTTTCGGATGTAATTAAAAAAATAACACACGTTTCGCTAATTTTTAGTTTCAACCGAGTCAACACTGGGAATAACATTACAATTCATTTAAACGATCGAAATAACCTAAAATAATTGGCCTGATCATTTATTAGCTTATACTTAAAACATAAATAGGAGTTATAGGTTATTTCATGACTCAACCACCAAATTATAGCAATCATTTAACTTCCTTATTATGCTTTTCATTCTGGCGTTCAATATCATCCATACATTCCTGATCAATTCTCAGATTACGAAGACAGTCACATGATATCTATGTCAAAAGATGTGAGATATATGACATTCATGGTGATAGGTAGACAGACACGTCATATTAAAACAAGCTAGCACTGGGCATAGTGCGTCGATGCATGTGATGGTTGAAAACGATATTTCAAAATTTACGAGCCTTCTTTATAAGAATTATAGTCACCCTCTCTCATATATACTATCGGGCATTAGTTAATTTTTCTGAATCGGTGTATCTGTGTTACTTCAATTCTTGGTATTAAAACATGATGTTACAGCTTTAATAATTGGTTCCATTCGATGGTAGCGAAAATTTTGGTATAAACCACGTTAGTACCCAATCAAAAAGCGAGTTACAAACAATTTTTTGCAAAATTGGGTGCAATTTAGGAAGTGATACATTTATGCGTATGCGAGGTGTCAGCACGTTGCAAACATGAAACACACGTATTCCTATTCTCATTATTGCTATATCGCAATATTTTTGATAGTTAGCTTCAAAAGGAAATTATTCTTCGCAATCATACGACAGATGAATGTGTAAATTTAAAATACTTGGCGCAAAGACAAGATATCAAAGTCATAAATGTAGAATTCGCCTTTTGGGGAGAATCCTAGTATGGAAAAACAATAAATTGGTATTAAAACTAACTGTAAATGTTCTTCGTGCAGATTTGACATCTTCCAAATAAATAAATACTCTGTAGAATCGATTGATATGTACTTTAACATATTTTCGAATTCCGTTGCAGAGTGAACCACAGACATGCATTTTATACTACAAAGACTGCGTACTACCAGCTTTACTAATAAACCGCGACACTATTGTACAAGAACATATTCTATAAACGGCATTGTATGGCCGAAAAAATATATTAAAGTAAATCGTGCACATCCCTCCAATGATCTCTAAAGTTGGCTTCTTGACGGAGGGAATCGAAGTTAATACGTTGAATAAGTACGTTGTTACTGATTCAGATATGGAAAGTCTCCGCGAATCGCTATATGAGACACCAAATGTCCTTGAAGAAAGTTGTTCAAGCGATTATGAAGACGAAAAAATTTTTAAGGATGATATCGTTCTATATTGCACAGTTTACGATTTCCAGATGGAGTCATCCTATCTAGAGTTTCACGTGTACTCCAAAGATTCAGAGCTGTTTCTTCACCACGACGTTGGTGTCTTCGCGGACATTTACGATGCGTGCAATTTCAGATATAACAGTGAAGACTACGTAGCCTTAGCACTAGGCTCGAATAAGATTGAGGTGTACTCCTTCATGGTCAGGAATCCCTTGCAGCCGGTATTCTCTCTAAACAAGCACACATCAACAGTTTCTGGGATCACATGCAGCGGTAATAGCATTTTCTCGTGTGGTTATGACCAATATCTCAACAAATGGGACATTGAAACTCAGAAAATAGAAGCAGAAATGCATTTTAATGTACGTTTAGATTCAGTTGAAAACCATACGTCAGATTTATCGATCATTTCATCGTCGAATGGATTCATTTTAGATCACAATTTGAACATCACTGCTGAGATTGATGCCGAAAATCTTACCGGAATCAAAATAATTGGAAACAAAATCCTATTAGCGGACAGCACAGGTACTATCATGGAGAGGGATAGACGGAACATTTGCAAAAATGTCAACGCGAAGAAAGTGCATGCTCTAGGTATCAATGATTTTGACATAAAAGATGATAGAATTTTAACAGCTTCCGATGACGAAACGATATGCGTGTTGGATAACAATTTTGATGTGGTAAAAAGCATTAAGACAAAGAATAAGGTGTTTGCACTCCATATTTATCCTAATAGCAGGCAGAATCTGCTATTCGCGTATGGCGGTCTCGACGAAATCGTAAATGTGCGCGAACTCTGATTATTAAATGATGAGTGGTAAGTTTTATGAATTTGTACTATTGTCGAGATATAGTAATTTAATATTTCCCAACAATCATTTAGCCAGAACTGGCTTATATCGTCATTAAAGCTGTGTATGTGCCGTTAAATGGTTATTAGCCATTAATACAAATACACGCACTTGCTTTACTTTAGTTATGGCTCTGTTGCAGATGCTACAGCTCTGTTATGACTCCTTAGGTGCATGTTTCCATATATAGCTTTGAATTTACCGGGAAAATATTTATGTGTACGAACACATTCTATGTGCATGCATTATATCAAAAATTGCATTATTTATCGTTTGGGCACCACAGTCATTTCTACTTGACACAGCCTAGCACTTTTCTGCGTAACCAGTTTGTTTCTTGCGATGTTACGCCCAAATTGTACCCACCGTAGTTAATTTATAATTTCACGCGTGAATGTTCATGAGCAATGTAACCAACCACTAATCCTATCAATAAATTAACATTTGTAGAGAGCAGAACAAGATGAGTGCAATAAAGTACATTATCGTATGATGTATTGTGAAATAAGGCTGTTGTTAATCTTATGACTCCAAATAAATACTGTTGTGCACATACATCAGTATTTGTACTGTAGGTGTTCCTGTCTCTGTGATGGAAAAACAAAATTTGTACGTCTTCTCCAACTGCTACCAGAACAGATTGCATAGATTGATTTAATGTTAGAATGCTTATTGAGAATGAGAACCAATAATCAGCGGTGATTTGTCCAATAGGATTTCCTGTTCGGCAAAGCGCAAGTGGTCCCTTGGATCACACAAATATTTTAACTAATGATTCTTCTTACGTAAAAATTGTATAGATGGGAAGTAAAATATTAGAAAACAGTTTTATTCGCAAGTGGTACATCGTATGTGGTAGAGGAAAGTCTGGCAAGACGAGCGTAAGCGCAGGCCTTGGACTTAGACTGGCCGACGATACGGTATGCAACGATATATGTAGGAAGAGTTGCGACTGTAAAAACATAAAATGTGATTTGAATTGTCCATGCATGCGTGAGAACATTACTGATGACAAGTTCAACGACATTGTGTGCCACAAGCCGAGCACAATGATACTTGAGCAGCCATCGAGTGATAGCATCGAATTTAATGAGAAGGCATTTATTGACAAGGACATAAACGCAAACACAGAACACAACCAGAAGTATTCGGATGTAAACCTTGACAAAGGTTATGACGAGATAAAGTTCCGAGATGAGCAGCCCGGTGAGATTCCGAACTACTGTGTGCGGTGCCTCAGGAAGGTTCTTTTGATTTCGCTTGATCAGCAGGACAATCTCGCAGAAACCATCCAACGCGAGGTAAAAAACGAGCCCACTCATATCAAGAACAATTTCTATGTTATGGAATTGAACAAGGAAGAAATTTCACGGATTGATGAAAGTGAAGAGAATAACGTGGCGATACTGAAGTCGATACGGCTGTTACCTGGTGTTCTGGAAGCACTGTATTTTTCAGAAATAATAAAGATTGCACAAGATTATGACACGATAATAATCGATACATGGCCTTCCTTCAACGCACTGAATTTCTTGTCGTTTCCCAAAGAGCTTAACTCGCTGCTGAACAAAATCATAGGGATGGATAAGGTGAGGAATTTGGATCAGATGCCGTTCTACCAGAAGATAGTCAACGCAGCGGATACTATTGAAAAGAGCGGGATGTTTCTGAAAAAATCGGCAGAATGTTCTTTTATCCTGGTGTTTACGCCGGAAATGCTTTCCATCACAGAGGCCAACAAATTAATTACCAAGCTTGCATACGTGGGAATAAGCGTGAGCCATCTCCTAATCAACCAAGTACTACAACCAAGTAGCAATTGCGAGAACTGCAAAGCTATTGAGATTAAACAGCAAGATGCGTTGAAAAAGGTTAAGGACAGCCGTATAAATCAGATATATTTGGACTTTGAACCGGGTGGTATAAAAGGCATCGACAAGTTGGATAAATTTTCACGAAAATTTATTAACTAAACAGCATTTGAGAATATGGCAGTGTTTTTACGCTTCTCTCGCTACAAACGAGTGAAACTCTTTGTGCGGTACTTCTATACTTACATGTGATTTACGTACTAAATCAGCCTATTTAAGAAATGTAGCAGCTTTTAGCCCGGTATAACTCATTTTAAATCTCATATCTTGTATTAAATGACAATACAAAGTTGTACAAGTCGCTTGATCGGCTCTTCAACTGTTAGACAGTGAACGTTCAAATAAAATTTACTTTTTACGGTTAGATGACCGCAAAGGCACCGCTCGCAATGCGTGCAGTTATCAATTAAATCGAGCAAAGTGATACATTTCCATATTTAAGACACATAACATGTATAGCACGTGCAGACCAGCCATACGGCCGGTACAAAACACACAAGAAACGTGTTAATGCAACACAGCCACTATTTTTAGCGAGAGATGGTTTATTCACCACCGCACATACAGCGCTATCCACAAAAATATACTTTTCTGATGAAGAGGTACCATAAATCAATTATTTGTTCAACCCTGGGCAAATGCACGCCAACAGCACGCCGCCAAAAATCATTCCTATGTCAAAACATTTTCTGGAAAACAACACAGTACCGCTCGAACAATACACCGATCTTCTTGTATTCGACATTGACAACACGCTGTACCAGTCCAACATTAACCTCATAGGACGTGTAATATCCCAAACCTTTGATAAACTCGGTATAAATGACGAGAATGCACGGGCCCGGATACTTGAGGAGTGCAAAGCAGAGTACGGGTTCAGCATAAAAGGTATGTATGCATACAACATCCTTGATTACAAGACATATTACGATGTCATCACCAACATTGATTACAAAGCCGTGGTTAGCCCCGATCCAGATCTGAGGCACATGCTGGAGAACGTGCATATAAACAAGATCTGCTTTACAAATGCTGAGTCGATCCACTGCATGAGGATATTGAGCGAGCTGGAGTTGCACGGTGTCTTTGACTATGTGTTGTGTGTTGATCACAGCGAGCCAAATTTCATTTGCAAGCCTATGAACGAATCGTTCGATTTTCTTGAGCAGCTGTTCGGTGTAAGAAATAAGATAACGTTTTTTGATGACGATCCAAGGAATATCGCAATGGCGGAGCAACGTGGATGGATCGCTCATCACATCACCAGCATGCAAACGATTAAAATGTTGCTTTTGGAAATACGTCAAGCAGAGGATAGAAAATAAAAATTATTTTGATGAAAATCATGTAAACTTCCGCTTGTCGCACTCATTAAACTGCTGCACGGCATAGCACACGTTGTCTTGGTCTAAAATTGTTCGTTTAGTACCCGCTACTTCGTTGTTAACGAGTCAACAAATCGAACTAAAAGATCTTTCTGACACCCTACCCGTTGAACTGCCAAATATTTCGCCGTAAAAACCGTACCGCAATTTTAGACTGTTTTTACTCATTGCCTTCCACAGAGGTATCATCACTCCCATTGGTGCTCATAAGCAGTGGTAATTGATAACAAATTGCTCATAGTGCCGAGCAAATAACAAAATTTACCTAATCTACACCGCAACCATCCAAGTGCTGACAAAAGATAAATTTCCTTCCTACACACGGTATCGATTAGGATCTTTGAATCTCCGTTCAAAGAGCTGTTGTCGTGTTTGCCACTTTTTCATTTGTTGTGTCTTTGACCACGTGGCTGTGTGTGCATGCCCCATTTGAAGTGCACTGTGGATTAAAAAGCAGCTACAGCGATTGAACGCGTTGTAACGTGCCATTACGTTCTATAACCAGCAATTGTATTTTTCGGTAATTTCCTGGTTCTAATGATTTACTTTGTTGTTCTGCCGTACCAGGCGAATAGCACTGCTGTAAAACCTTAAAAATTAATTAACGAGTCCTTGCAGGTTGAGTAAATCACGTTAATCAATTTTATTAACAAGCAGAACCTTAAAAACATGAAAAATAAACGAACACGTTTATTCCAGTAGCAGTGCTATTCTTTGTTTACACCGGTTCCATCACATCGTCTTTTTAACTCACATTAAATTAATCTGCCCCTCATTGTCTTACCTTGAACAACTCCTTGTGTCCAACGCTTATCATTTTTGATCGCATACTTCTCATCATTGATATTTTGAACAAATCTAATCTCTTTTTGATCATTGTCCAGTGGTATTACGTGTTATCCCTTCATTTTACTACTCTTTACGCTTCTTCCGGTAAAAGAATCGTCTACTTCTCTTCACGGGAATGGTCAGCCGTCCCGTACACCCACTTGTTACCTCCGTGCTACTTTCTTTCCTGCCACTCTCACACATCCTTCTCAAATACTCGTTGTACGTGTTGCCCGTGCTTTCTTCTTTGCTGTGTTTGTGCACGTCCTCTTTTGATTTCATCATTCGCTTCGTAAATTTGATCGTGTGCAGATAATCGGTGCCAGAATTGCTGGATGATTGGTCGTTGATGGACGTGTCGATCCAAGGATTGCCAGCATTGTTGTGTATTTCGGTACTTTTGTTTGTTTGGCCGTTTTTGTCGATCCTTGTCAATGAAATGACCCTTTCCTTAGCAGCACCAGAACTGTGTATTACGTTTGGCCTTCTTTTCAGCGTCTTTCTCCTGGTAGCTCTTTCTTTTCTTGTGCTGTTTCTTCGCTCTGTTATACGATCATATCTTTTCGTTCCACCATCGTACTGTTTTGAACCATTTCTATCACCACCTGTGTTATTCACATCACTCCTGTTACCATCTTTCTTACATATTTTGTTCCAATTAGTATTTTCACCACCCACTCTCCCATTCCCTATCCTACCACGCTCATCACCTCCCTCACCCACTCTCTCATTCCCTATCCTACCACGCTCATCACCTCCCTCACCCACTCTCTCATTTCCTATCCTACCACGCTCATCAACTCCCCAAAAACTACTAACTCCTCTCATTCTCTTAACCCTCATCAGCTCATTCCTAGCCCTAACCAACAACCCCCTGTACCTCACCCGTTCACTCTCCAACCACATCATTCTATTAACCACACTCTCCATTTGAAACGAAATTATGTGTGCTGGCCGTTCTAACAGCTTGGTCGGATTGCATGAGAATGTTGCTTTTAGCTGGTCGGTCAACCGCATGAATTCGGTAGGGCTGTGGCATACAGGACATGTTGTTATTTGGGTTGTACATGTTGTGCATGTCATGTGCATGCATGATGATATTAGTAGCGGACGGGTTGTTGATGAGCAGGTCTGGCAGTAGAAAAGGTTGTCGTGCAGTTCTTTCATGTTGCATAAAAGGTACCGTTCATTTAACGGTTTTGATACGGTCAGAATACGGTAATGCATTTGAATGTGGTGCTGGTTCTTTTATTATGCGCGGCGTACTTCCATGTCGCATTGCTCAGCATTGATTGATCAATTCGTGCCATAACGCCAGCCTGCCATTTATCACAACTTTATTATAAATTCACATATTATAAATAATCTACTGTAAATTCATTCACTATAAATCAATGAGTACTACACCTCAGCATTAATTACACTTATATTTTAACCCGTTTCTCATCACATTCTAATTTACATGCAACACCTGTGTTAATAAGTACTTATCAATCAATTTTTACAATCCTTACATCATTACCTTACCATAATTCCTTTTTGGTGCCCCATACTGCACCTAATAGATCACCCTTACCCAACCATCTCACCATACAATGCTCAACAAACCAAGCGTGCCACAAATCAACATCAACCTCGAGGTACGTTTAAATCAACACGTTAGGTCGATCACCCTCATTCGCCAATACACCGCCCTGACCAATCGCATCAATAAACTTGCATTAGGACAAATAAATAAAAAAGTGTGCGCCTCTGCACCCCTAAATGCACACCAAAAACAAGCAGGCACAGCTGGGAGTAATCGGTCTAGCACCGATGGGTAGGGCACTAGCACTGAACTTGAGGGATAAAGGATACGTAGTTGCAGTTTATAACAGGACAGGAAGTAGGACTAAGGAGTTTGAGGAGGAGTGTGAGCGGGAGGGTGAAACGATTAAAACTGGTGAAGAGGAGAGCAGAGCTGATGAGAGTGGCAATGATAGAACAGCTAGCGGCAGAGAAGCAAAAGATAAGGCTGGCAGCAACGAAGCGAATGCAAACGTAGCAGGCGATAAAACGGCACAGAAGGGCTCGTTCATCTACACTTACGCAATCGATGAGTTCGTACGTTCCTTACAAGCACCAAGAAAGGTGCTCGCAATCATAAAGAGCGATGCAACCGATGAACTGATGGCGCTCATGTCACCTCATCTATCTAAGGATGACTATTTTTTAGATTTCTCTAACAGTACGCCCGATGTAACTGAGTTGCGCTCGCGAAATACTAACTACCATTATCTTGGCATAGGCATAAGCGGTGGCACAGAAGGTGCACGTAATAACGGTGGCCTGATGGTTGGGGGTCCGTCCAGTTCATATGCTGTTGTTCAGCCCATTCTCATGTCAATTTCAAACTCGGTTGGTTATTTTGGTGATAACGCAAGCGGACATTTCGTAAAGATGGTGCATAATGCCATTGAGTATGCGCTGATGGGTGTGATAGCAGAGTTCTATGAGGTGTTGAACAAGTTGGGAAAGGAGGATTTGATGGCAAAGTGGAATGAGGAGACGAAAATGTACTTGGTTGACGCAGCACTGCAGGTGACCGGAAATGAAAGATTTGATAAAATTGAGGGGCGCGTGGAGATGAAGGGAACAGGCGCATGGGTGCTCAAGGAGATGAGCGGGCGGTGTAGAACGCTGCTGCTCAACAGTGCAATTGATCAGCGGATGAGCAGCATGCATGGCACCACGCATGGTGCACAAGATGGCAGTGGGCAGCAAGATAACACCGTTATCACCAAGGCCAAGTCAAAAGATACGACAGACAGTGATGCGCCAAGCGACAATGTGCTCGTTGCCAAGTCCAAGCTGAGCTTGAAGAAGGCATTCAAAATGATCTCTTTTTCTGCGCTCAGCGAGAAGTGCCTCAAAAATGCTTTCATATTCTGCCTCAAGATGTGCTACAAGGAAGGCCTGGACATCCTAAGAAACAACGGTACGTACAACATCAACGTAAAAGAGGCTGTCAGGGTGTGGAAGAAGGGATGCATCATACAGAGCGACATAATTGATGAGGAGATCGATGCGAAGCACTGCAGGGACCTTAAAAAGGTCATTTTGTACGCGGTCAATAAAAACATAAGAATAGCGAACGCAAGCAATTGTTACTACAAGGAAATGAGGGATGATCGACAGATAATGCTGTTGGCAGGGTTGAGAGACTACTTCGGTGCACATGGTGTGTATATTGACGGGGAATGGACGAACATCGAATGGCGAAAAAAGTAAAGTAAACGTTAATGCATGACCGTTTTGTACCTTTTTCTGTTCATGTGGTTGTCCATGGATCGTTTGCTACGGATAGCACCGAACTATGAAACGAACGTTCGTGCTCTGCGGTCCTTGCCGTGCAATGAATGTTTTCTGGTAAGCAGCACCATTTTCACGTATTTTACGCTTCAGTTCTTCATGAGGAGAGCCGCAGTTACATCTCTTTGTGCACGTGCCATGATAGCGCTTTGATGTGCTGTCGTGCAATGCTTGTACTTAACAAGCACCTCACTGTACAATATAAGCTTCTTCCTCAGGAATACCGTATTGTTACTCAAAAGGATGGTGACGCGTAATAAACTTGTTTTTGTAGCACAGTAGAACAAACACCGCTGATCATGCTTTACCTGCAAAATCAAATTTATATTTATAGAGCATCTTGCATAAATAAATAAGATACGAAAATTTAAATACTGTAAACATTATTATGCGCATTAACAGGACAGAATGGTTTGAAATTACGGAGCTATACCGTTTCTACGTGAAGAGGTTTCGAACATAAAGCGAAACGGCACGATTAATATGCCAGAAATTGAGATACTTATCTGCTACTCTCAATTCATTTTATGAACATATCCTGCATGTTCCTTCAAAACAGCAATTTCTTAACTTTTTTCTTTTCTCCATGTTTTATACCTTCTGAGTTCGTTTCTATCCTCTGTTACTTTTTTACCTATTTCTAACGCCAATCTGCCTTAACTATCCACAATTCGAACATTTATTTATCTCTTACTTCATTCTTACCTTCCCATAATACACCAATTCAAATCAACCATCTAATCCCGATCTACAAACAACAACGTACTAAACAGCACACTCCTCATCAAACATCATAATTTGTGCATCGATCAGCAACCTGTACCTAATTTTCATCGCACCTCATATTTTGTATTTGTGCCCGTCCGTTCAGTGTTATTTTGTGATACCGGCGCATAAACAGAACGAATTATTATTCTTTTGCTGTGATCATTGATCACACGGTTAAATTACATGCACTTAATTTAGAACCGCGTCATGCGCATAAAAACACGAATTGCAGCAGCACCACCATCCTCAAAATGCCCGCCAATTTTCATCACAACGGGTGTACGTGCCAATAATGCACTCTTATTCTTCGAGTACGCTCGTTAACAAAGAACACACCGCATTGCAAACAATCCCTACCACGATATGATTGGGCACATTTCTGGAAATAAGGTATTTGACCGCTTTTCATGCACTCTTTGCTATTTTTTGATGCATTTCGTTTATTTGCAGTAATTTTATCACATTTTTATTTAGGCTATCATTTGTTGCAGCCTCATCAGCCCCTTCCCAACAAAAAATGAAAAGTTTGAACATGGAAAGAACAAAAAATTGTAAAGTAAGAGCTAAGAGTGCAATCGATGGGACGATGAGCGTGTGTGATAGAGAGCGCAGTGCTATCAATGCGCATAAGAATGGTAGTAACGATGCTATCAATGCGCATAAGAATGGTAGTAACGATGCTATCAATGCGCATAAGAATGGTAGTAACGATGCTATCAATGCGCATAAGAACGGCATGAACATCAAAACTATCGATGAAAGGGTGGCCCATCCCAAAACTATCAACGATACGTGCAGCGCCACAGCCCAAAAAACTGGCAACACGGAGGACGCAGCACCCCCAAACGATGACATGATCCTCGCCAAGCCGTTCTACTTCAACAGCTCACAATTTGTATTCGAGGACCAAATTGAAGAGAAGTACTACCCCATCCCGAAGAACAGACCTGTACGAATATACTGTGACGGAGTGTACGATCTGTTCCACTACGGCCACATGCGTTCACTAATGCAGGCCAAGCACCTCTTCCCTAACGTTCACCTGCTGGTGGGCGTAACGAACGATTGCATAACACTGCAAAACAAGGGCTCGCTCGTGTTTAACGAGCATGAACGCACCGAGAGCGTGAGGCACTGCCGGTATGTCGATGAGGTGATAGAAAATGCGCCGTGGTCGATCACGGGCACGTTTCTTGAGACACACCGCATTGATTATGTGTGCCATGATAATGTGCCGTATTCGTGCGCACACAGTGCGGATGTGTACGACAGTCTGAAACGGAGCAATAAATTTATACCGACCAGGAGAACGTTTGGCATAAGCACTACGAATATTATTACGAAGATTGTGAAGGACTACGATCTTTTCGTGCGTAGGCAGCTGGAGAAGGGGATCAATGCGGATGAGCTTAATTTGTCATTCTTTACGAAGGAGAGCATTAACGTGAAGAACACGATCAAGAACATCGAGGCAGACCTGAAGAACGAGATTAAGGAGATAAGGGAGGAGCTGCGGATAGCACTGCTGTACTGGGAAAGGGTGAGCAATGAGATGATCAGCACGTTTAGTCACCGATTTGCACGCACTGTGAACGAGCACTCGCTGTTTAAGAAGATATTTAGGAAGATTATACTTATGATAGAGAGAAAGAGGAGATGAGGAGAGGAAGAGGTGGAGAATGAGGAGGAGAATGAGGTGGAGAATGAGGTGGAGAATGAGGTGGAGAATGAGGTGGAGAATGAGGTGGAGAATGAGGTGGAGAATGAGGTGGAGAATGAGGTGGAGAATGAGGTGGAGAATGAGGTGGAGAATGAGGTGGAGAATGAGGTGGAGAATGAGGTGGAGAATGAGGTGGAGAATGAGGAGGAGATGAGAAGAATACGTGTATGGAATGAGGAATGAAAGGTACAAAGATAAATCGTACTAACAGCATTAATTGTATTAGCAAGGAAGGACCAGAATGATTGCATTGAAGAAGGAATGAAACGGAAATGGGGATGAGATCATATTTTAAATTAAGGTGGGATGAATGGAATAGGAGGGTTGATGTGCAGCGTAGATAACAAATGTGGAAGATACCGCTACGTTGCGCTATATCAGAATTATAACCTGTCATACCACGTTATGTAAACACCATTTGTACGTGGTAGTACCGCTATTTAAGGACACTTTACCTGATGTTGACAAGAAAATAATAATTTAGTAATTTACCTTACGGTAGAACGTGCTTTACACACCCGTGCTGCGCGCATTGCTTGGTGCAGGAATGCAACGGTGCTGGTTACGTTTTCAATTGGTAGAGAACTGTGAAGTACTTACCTGCCGTACGGGTAGAGAATGATGTTAGTACGGTGTAATGTTTTGGAACGGGTACTGTTCGTTATTTTTTGTGGTACCATTCTGTGATCGTTGCTGACGGTGGTACGTTTGAGTGTGAGCTGCTCCGCAAGCGGTAATTGCTTTGCGTGCAGCTAATGGTTGAACGTAGGGGAAGGAGTGCTTGGTGAGGGAACGCTCGTGTGAAGGGCAAAATCGTGTGAAGAACGTTTTATAGGGAAGTGAGGAAAGAATGGTGGTTGGATAGAAAGTGAAAATGGCACAAATGATCAGATGATGATACGGCACATGGCACAAGCCTTGGGATAAACCGTACGTAATCACAAAATGACCGTTTATGGACCAACAACGAATAAAAGAAGTGCCATAATCACCGCTTTGCACGGTGCAAATGCGAACCTCACCCCTCCTTTCAAAATATCGTGCTACAGAACGTAACGCTGCTCGTCTCGTTCAGGATGCAATGGCATTTAAAGATAGAAACACGTGGTGCAAGCAAAACGTACCTAAACGGTGAAAATACATCGCGTAGTACCGTTAAAACGGGCTTAGCAATTAATTACCTTTAATTTAAAGCGTTTACCATCTTTAGGGGTGCATCGGTACGGGTGAAATTGCTGCCTCCTCCTGTCAGCGTTAAATAACACATTTTGCTCAGGCAGCTGCTCTTCGCTTCAGAACGGTGTTCGTTGGTGGTTCGTAGGGACCGTACCAACGTGGCAATCTGGATGGAAGGGGCGTTGGACAAGGTACGGTCGTTTAAATAACAAATTACGGTGTGAGTACGAGAGCGTAACTTGTAAACGATAACAGGGCATGTTATGGTGTAGTGAGCACATCATGCTGTTGCCGAACAATGTAACACGTATTACACCGTTAGCTGACCGTGCTCTACTCTAATGGTCTTACGGATGATCCTGCATCGTTGATGCTCTCGTGCTGATCATACCATACCGTGAACAGCAGTTCCAAACACACAGCTACGGTCAAAATCATTGCCAATCCCAAAGCTACGGTCAAACTCAGTCCAGCAGATCAAAATCATCGCCAATCCCAAAGCTACGATCAAACTCAGTCCAGCAGATCAAAATCATTGCCAATCCCAAAGCTACGATTAAAATCATTTCCATCCATCCCATAGGTATCGCACACAAACCTTCTCAAAACGTACACATCCTCAGTTACCCGATTCACGCCATCTCTAATTTCATCAACAACCGCCTTAGCGGTCCTGTACTGCTCCAAACTGAACGGCACATCTTCAAGCGCGCTCAGCTCCCTATACTCCCCAATCATATGCACCCTCTTGCCGTCGCATCTTTCGCTCTCAAGCTGCTGCTTCTGCTGCACTAGCCGCTGCCTATCGTGCTCCTTGATGTTCAGCTGGTTGGCGATCCGCTTGTACTCGGTTGAGCTGTTGGGCGGTATCTGCCAGTAATACGTTGATATGCCAATCTTGTCCGATGTAATCATATTATCGTTTGATAGCTCCGTTATTAGGTCTTTAACGAGGTTGGAACGTACGCCTAGCTTAGATGACAGTTTTTCTAGCTCCTTGATGTTGTACACTGCGGTTGGATTGAATAGCGTGAGGATCTTTTCCTTTTTCTGTTCTTTGGTGGTTTGCTTTGCCATTTTGAGGGGCTCTTCCGTTTTTGAAGGGTTGTTCGGTGTTTTTGTCTTGGCGGTGCCGTACGGTGCATTTGGGATGGAAAATGCTGCTCACATACGGTCATTCATTTGGATGCCGGTCTTTTCGTGGTACCAGGCATTCAGAGGTAGTACGTGTTAGAATGGTTTAGAAGAACTGAATGGTAACAAGCATGGGTGGGCATACAAGGCTTGAATGTTCGTCATGCCGGATAAATACGGCCGTTCATCGCACTGAGCACATTTAACGTGCTCGCCGTGTGAAACGGTTACATTACATGCGGTGACACATTCCTGTAAATATTCTTCATGACGATGCTTCCATTGGTGGCAAAGCACCATGTTCAAAGATTCGTTTCCTAACCTACCAGGGCTGTGCACTGCGATACGCCCTGTCACCGGAGTGAGCACAGCAATATTTGTGGACAGAAATGCATAAAATACGATGTGTGTTGGGGATGGGTAGATTGCGATGAATGCCTGTTCTAACCAAAAGGCTTGATACACGATACAAGAGCGAACTGAGTTACTGCCATGACATTCAATCAGGACCTTGAACATGAAGTGATTACGTACTTTTGGTTTGGTGTTAGCATGGCAGGTTCAAAATGGTTGTGAGATGAACATTTTTAGCATTTTCATGTATTTGTGTATTCTTTTGCGCAGCGGATGCGGTCCTATGGTGTAGTGGTTATCACCTGAGTTTCTGGTACTCAAGACCCGAGTTCGATTCTCGGTGGGACCTTGCTTTTGATGCAATACGGTGCTTGTCTTTGATGCAATACGATGCTTGTCTTTGATGCAATGCGATGAGTCATGCTCTAAGGTACAGCTGTGAAACAACATCGGTTCAGCGATGGTGGTGTATTGCGATGCGCTATCCGTTGCTGGTGCTGTTCAGGGGTGGTATTTCACCTAATACCAGCACCAGCCGGTCCTTTGTATTGCTAAAACTATCAATCGCAAGTGCACCTTCTTCAGCACGGGTACCTGCCATTAAATATCAAATTAAATTTGCAGCAAGAGGAGTGCGGTCAATACAGGCTACATACGATGCCAGATACATTAAAGACCTGAACGCTTGGGAAGACTGGCGTAAGGGGCACACCGGCCATCAACAATTGTTAACGGGCACTGATCAGCCCTGGCAGGTGCTGCAATAAATGCTCTGGTACGGATGCGGTCTGTTACGTTGCTTTACCTGCAGTTACGCGGGTGCGTACCGAATACTTTCAAAAAATCATTTAATCAATGATTGTTCGCGCTCTGGATCAGCAACGATGATCGAGCGTGCAGAAGAAACAGGGCAAAGCATCCTAGGATCGAATTCAAGGCGTGTTCAGGGCAGTTTTATTTATTTCTTGGTTATTTCTGCGTTTGTCTGTTTCTGTCCTTCAAGCTGGATGCAATGTTTGAGCTGGCAATCTTTTTGAATACGCTGCGCTATCATTCGCGTTCGGTAGCAACGAAGGGAGAAGCTCTACCTGAGAGCATGTGCATCCTCGTTCGTAAAATCTTTGATGCTCCGGAGCGGAGCACTGCCACTATGAAGGTGCGTACAAATAGCAAACATAGGCAATCGCTTTCTGTTCACAGAACATCAACATGTGCCAGGATAAGGCACAGATCCTCAATCAAAAACATGCAAGTTATCGCGTGATAGATTCATGATCCGTACGTACGTGCTATTGGAACGAATGCCCTTTTTGTTTGTCACACTGCGGTAGGACTCGTACGCAACTGTTAAAAGTGCTAGAATCGAAATAATGCGGTAGCTCAGAACGAAAAAGGAATGCACAATGAATGTTCGGGTCTGTCCCTTTCAAACGAACACAATGCGCTTGGCAGTAATTTAGACCGTTAAAAACAACTAAAAGTGAACAAATCGCTCTTGTCGCACTACAAGGCAAAAACTGGATGGAACGAACGGCACAGCACTTCACACTGATGCTGTGACATTCGTTCTTCAACACATGCCCATTCCAACACACCACTCAAAACGGATGAAGATTTGAAGGCCGAAATGAACGTGCTGGGCGGTGGTGCAGTGCAGCCGTGTTCACGACCCGTAGTGCACGTGCGGTGGTGCAAAACAGTGATCCTCTCATGCTAACAACACACAAACCGTTCTTCTACAACACACAAACATAATTTACTTAACATAAACCAAACAGCACCACTCCCGCGCAAGTTCTGCACTTTCACTGCTTTTTTCATAGAACGCCGTGCTTTTTGCTCATCTCTTGACGAACATATGCCCAACATTTTGTTTGAAGTACAGGTAGATGAGCAGGGCCAAGACCAAAATTACGATGCTCACCGTGATAATGGAAAAATACTTTTTTAAGTGCTCATCATCCGCATCGGTATCATCTACGCCATCGCTGCTGACAACGGTGGTGCTGTTGGGTGGCGGACCATCGCCGTCTCCCCCATCACATGCAACAGCACAGTCATCTTTGATCGAATACGGCACCCTCACCGTCTTTTCATTCCATTTATGGATCAGGTGCATGTTGCCCGATTCTAAACACTTTTCAGACACGTCATCAGCATCGCTCGTGTCATCTTCTCCGGCACCCGATGAGTTCGTTTCCTTGTTGTCTGGCCCTTGCGCATTTTCTGGGGGTGGCCCTGGATCTACCGGCGGCCCACCACTGCCATTCTGTTTTGGACTGGCAGACCCTGTGAACAAATTTTTGATTTTCTGCTTCGCCCAGTTCCACAGTCTTTTGAAGATACCGGGCCGCGGTGCATCGGTGCCTGCACCGCTGTTCCACCAGCCCGTAATTTTGTTCTTCGCACTGGACGCCATCCCGGTGGTAGCGTTACGTACTCTCACCATCTGTTTTTTTGAATAGTTGCAACCGCTGGCAAGTTTGTCCCAGGCATAGCTGCAGCCATCCGCTACTTTTCCTTTCACATGCGCATATCCGTCTCTCACGTAACCGAGCCAGCCACCAGAATTACCGCTGCTTCCTACCTCTGGTTCAGCGTCCTCTCCTAAGCTGCTGCCTTGCTCACCCGCAATCCTGTTCTTTAGGTTTGATGCAGCGTTTTTGATGCCGTTATAGCCGCTTGCTGCTTTTTGTTTCGCATACTCCCACCAACCGGAGCTTCCGTTGTTTGTGGCCGGGTCCGCTTCCATGTTCCCGATCGCTGAACCGTCACTGTGAACAGCCGAAGGATCTTCCAAATGGTCTTGGGCAGCAGGACGCGAATTACTGGCACCGTCATTGCCATTCAAACCGTTGTCGGTGCGCCCTGCAGCACCACCAAAACCCATAAAATGCCTGACAGATGAACTTACCGTGTTCAGAACTGATTTTGCACCGTTGTAGGATCGGCGCCAAATGCTCTGCTGCGGACCGCTGTCCAAATCTTGACCCGCATCCTCAGCCGAGCGGTATGCGTTTGCATGGGAGTTCTGTGAGTGCGCCGGTCCGTGCTGCCGATGATCAGGTGTTCCCGTGGCATCTTGTGAATTGCACGAATAGAACACGTCATCAGACATCACGGTGCTGTCCACGTCTGATGGCTCTGATGATCTACCGCTCGCATCATCATGCATGTCCGATTCGGAATAATTTCCGTTTTGGTGCATACGATCGGCATGAAAGGATGGTTTTTTTAGCTGAGGCACACATGCGACATTAACCGGGTGTAAGTTGAGCGGAAAAACCAAATCGGTCATATAAAATGCTTTTGCGACAAGCAACAGCTCATTTTCTCCCATAAACACGGTGCCCAAGTGCAGCACCGAAAAGATCGACATCAGCAATTTCGCAATAATTTTGTTTCGAGGGGCGTTGTCCCGTCTTAACAACTCGCCGTTCGTGAGTGCTCCACCAACAATTTTTTTACATCTGCATGATTTGTGTGTGCGAATCGGTTTTTCTCCGGTCTTTTCCATTGCTATCGTGATGGGTCACACGATAAATCGGTGAAAATAAATTTTTTTGGAATCGATAACGAGGATGAATCGCATCAATAGTTGGTTGATTGCACGGTGCGGCAGCCTTTGGGGCATGGCAGCGCGATATTCCGCCTTCTCAGCAGCGGTGCAGCAAAGCTTTATGAGCCTTCCGAACTGTATTGTACAAAAAATCAGCAACCAAAGGCATATTGGTCTGGCAATATTTACGGCAGCAGGAGGCGCACCTTTGCAGTGACCGAGGAACCGGTGCGTGCACAGCGGCATGGGCATGGTTCTCGGCATCGGTGCATTCTACCACTCCGGCTTGGCCATAAAACCGAAACATCCACATTTTTTACCTTTCAGAGCAAAGGTCTTTATGAGGCGAAAGAGCCTGATCCATCACCAATGCGACACTTCAACGATTTTCATCTCGATGAGTGTTCTTCCTGCATTTTTACCAATTATTGTTACGTACAACTTATCGTGCACCCACAATTCGCTCTCTGCCTGTGCCAGGTTAAGCACGCTCTACCGATTCAGTGCCCGATAATGTTCTATTAGGTCTTATTTCGGTGTTAGCGAGCGGTAACGCGAACGAATCATCTTTGATTTGAAAGGCTATCACGGTCTGCCCAGTGCTGCACGAAATAGAACGGTAACGCTGCAGCACCATGAAACAAAGGCTGGTGACCACGATCGGTGCCAGCGGTCAGAAAAGCGTGTTATTTAGGTGCTGTGCTATGAGAAGGTAGCGATTTGTAATGAAATGATCGTAGCAGTGCATCATTCAGCTAAAGCAACTGAACGATACGTTTTTAAATAAAGAACGTGTTGTACTTCATTACAGCGATACGGTTGCCGTATCTAACACGTAAATACGTACGAATGGTACGTGTTGGTTACCTCCTTCGTAACTAAATTATTATTTTTGACCGGAGCTGCTACCAACGTGCTGAACCACAACCAAGCATGTGAATAGCTCACAAACACAGATTACATGGCGTGTTCATTTCAACCAGAGCAATGTCTGGCAGTGCGGTGTAAGTGCTTGGCACGTTGAATTCAGAGCACGCTTATCATCAAATATTACAGAAAGGAGCCACGTGATGTGCACGCATTCAACCACGATTCGAACGAA